AGAAGCCAAGAGGATAGAAAGGAAAGGAAAGAAGTCTGGGAGACTGTGCGGAGGAAAACAGAAACTAAGGGAAGAAAGTGTGCTGCTGCAAGAGTCAGGAGAGAGAAGGTGTTCAGGTGCATACACATGTTGGATCCAGTACAATACACACACCATTTTATTTTATTTTTTTGAAATGGCAAATCCCACCCCACCCCCACTGGCTATCTCAATTCAGAGCTCCTTCCAACACTCAATGCTGCTAGCAAAAATGCTTTTTTATTATTTGTAAGCCAAGATGCATATCTGGTTATATGCATGTATTTTCTATATTAGCACCCACCGCCCTCCAACAACCTGCAGCAGGAAGGGGCTTTTGTCAGGCTCAGACATCCATTCCCAGCTCTTTATTGCCTAAGAATTATAGTACAGTGGTACCTCGGGTTACATACGCTTCAGGTTACATACGCTTCAGGTTACAGACTCTGCTAACCCAGAAATAGTGCTTCAGGTTAAGAACTTTGCTTCAGGATGAGAACGGAAATTGTGCTCCAGTGGCGCGGCGGCAGCAGGAGGCCCCATTAGCTAAAGTGGTGCTTCAGGTTAAGAATAGTTTCAGGTTAAGTACGGACCTCCGGAACAAATTAAGTACTTAACCTGAGGTACCACTGTATCCTGCAGGATCAGTGCCTTAGATTCCTACACTTGGTGCTCAGGCCAGTGCTGGGCAAATCATAGTGTCCCTGGACCTTAGGTGTTTGCATGATGTCACTGGTATTGCCTGGAACAAAGAGAGAGAGGGATTTCTGCAACTCAGGGCTTTGCTACGCAGCATACAGTGCATTGGTCCTTACTGCACAGCAACTGAAAACATAGGCCTTTAGTTGATCTTATTGACATCCAACACCCTTTTAGAATGTGGCTTTTTTGGGGGGGGTATTGCTTTTGGTTTGATTTTATATGTTGTGGTCTTGTTATGAACCGCCCTGAGACCTCCAGGTATAGGGCAGTGTATAAGTTGAATGAATAATTAAATAATAGCCCTGCTCCTTTTTTTCTAATGCAAAGTTTTAATGTTCAAAAAGCACTTCTGTTTCTTTAAATCCCAAGGAAATGTGAGAACTCAGAGAACGGACACCTGCTGGGGCTGACCCAGAGGCTTCACACAGCCTGCTTTCTTTCTCCACCTCCACATGTCTTGCTAGATTATCTTTCAGATATTTGCAAAGCTTAAGGCAGGTGCTGTATGAGGAATGCAACTTGGAGTTCCTCCTTTAAAAAAAAAAAGGTTAAGCATGTGTTTCTGTCACGGGTGTGCAGATGGCATGGGGTGTATGTGGAGTATTTAAGCTGTAGAATATCAAGCCGTAAAGATACCATGTACACTGTTTAAAAAGCTGTCTTGGTTTTCATCTTAAAAGGGGTTGGTATTTGGACAGGAGCAACTTCTTCTGCAGGCTAGTAGTTTCCCTTCTTGCCCTAAGAATCAGTAATCCCCTTCTCTTCTCCCAAGCTCTGCTATGTCAGAACTGCCAAACAACTTGACTAAAGGGAGGCGAACATGACAGAATCTTCTATAGTCTTTGATTTCCCCCCGCCCCAGAAGAGAAATGAGGGAGGGAGAGGAATGCAATATAGATGGTAGTAGCCTATTTAGTCAGTAGAAAATAAAATGTAATGTGTTTTTATTTCAGCTGCTTTGGGGACCCTTTTTAAGGCCCCCAAAGTGACACACACATATTTATTCAAATGAATTTTATTTATAGAACTTGGATGATGTGGAAATTTGTTGGCAAGATACTTGAAGGGATTTTGAGGCTTAAGCAATGGCAAATGGGGAAGGGGCTTAGACGATAAAGGGGGAGTTGACAAGGGAAGATTGGTGCTAGTGCTGTTGAAAGGATTTTGGCAGGCCGTGCGTGGAAATATTGCTTGAATGATGAGGGCTGGGATATTTCTAAACACGCTCTCTGCTATTGGTGATGCAAAAATATGTGTGTTGCCTCTGGACATATTTATTAAGTGAGCATTTTGACCTTCTGGCTCATCTGAAATTTAACATCTTTAGCCTAAAGGCAATCATTGTCTGGCCAGCACCTTGAGGGGAAAGGAAGACAGCCTGGGTATTTCATTATATACAGCTCTGAGCTCCTTGGAAAAATGTCTCCCCAAAGAAGGCATGAACACACCATCTGCTTTCCTCCCCCCTTCCATTTTGCTAAGTGAGATCTCGCCAAGCATTGCTCACATCTTAGAAGTTAAGCGTTTTTAAGAACAACTTATTCTTCTTACAAATAAGACTGAAATGGTCTCTTTCACACATAAATGGAAGAAGTTGTTAACAGCTTTTAACTATTAATTGCTTTGCCTGAATCAATCAATTAACGTGCTCTATTGGAGAGCTTGCTGTTAGTGATTGGATCAGTCTGCAGCATCCCTCCTAATGAAGCAATACGAATCTCCTTCCAAGTGGTACCTGTTAGAGTCAGGTGCTCCCTTTCATAGACGTTGGAATGGATTCTGAGGATCACCCAGTCCAGCCCGAATATGCAGCTGTACCATACAGGTATCGAAACTGCAACCTTAGTGTTATCAGCACCACACTCCAACCAACTGAGCTATCCTTAGGACATGAAGCATCACTCTGTTTCTTAACACCGCAGCCCTGGAAATACTTTGCCTCACTATACCAAGAAGTATAGATTCTGCTTTTTCAGAAAGGTGATTCTGGAACCAGGGGGAAACAAACCATTCAACTGTGTGCTAATTAGGCAAAGGCAGATAAAAGTTATTGGATGATACAGATCACGTCGAGACATCTCATTCTGGTTTCTGGGCCCAGAGACTGAGACTGCATTGGTGGACAGCCTGTGCTGGACTAGGGAGTACACCTATGTTCTCTTGGACCTTTCAGGCCATCACCCATGGTATTTTTCAGGATTACCTGGCCAGTCAGGTGCTGGGGAGGGCAGTGATTTGTGCTGTTTCTGGTCCTTCTTGGAGTGCAGGTTTCAGAAGGTGGTCCTTGGTCATTGGGTTGTCATGTTCCCCGTCTTCCATCCTGTTTGTCATTGGAATGAAACAACGGGGAGGGGGATTGTCCAGAGAATTAGAGCGTGGGGTTGTTTGTATGTGGATGACATGTAACTCAAATACTGGGATCTTCTATGAAGGCAGTTGAAACCCTAAACTGGTGCCTGGGAGCAGAGTGTAGTCTAACAACATGAAAACCCAAACAAGACAAAGTTATCTTGGTCAGCGAGAAAGATTGTGTGTTTGACCTGTTTTTGGAGGGGAAGCACTCCCTTCGAAGGGCTCAGGTTTGCAGTTTGAAAGTGCTTCTGAGCCCGGCTTTTCTTCTTGGCTCCATTTGGCAATAGTCAGATGTGCTTCTGCATAGCTTAAGACAGTGTACCATCATTGACCTTTTCCTGGAGAAGGCAGATACAGCCACTGTCACACATTTGCTCATGTTCAGCTTAGACAACTGAAGTTTGTCTCAGAACTGGCAGCTGATGCAGAATGTTGCTCCTAAGCTGCTGCTGAGGCCTCCCATTCAGAGCATGATATTTTAGCACTCTTTGATCTACACTGGTTCCTGGTTTATTTCTGAGCCCCATTTTTAAAGTGCTGGTTATCACCTTCAAAGCCATAAATGGTTTGGGTCCAGGGTGCATTGAAGGACATACTCCCATATTATCTGGCTTTTTGTTGCAGATGCTTGATGTCTCTTCTGTAATTTATTTCTATTTATTTTTTGCAGCTTATTTCATTCAGTTTCTTGTCTTAAAATAACTTAAAATAATAATGATGTAAGCAGCTCTTGGGTGACTTTTTTTTTGCCCCCAAAACACCACATAAATTTTAATGTAATTGAATAAATTGTGCTTCAGTTTGGCAGTGTAATTAATACATTTAGAGACAGGTGTGTAGAGTTGACAGCCTTTGCCCTTATATTTGAATTCTGGAAAGGAAAGGATGACTTTACATTGGGGTCTAGAGTAGGGGCCAAGGTGGAAGTTGTCAAACGTTCTTACAAGGAAAATGCTACAGCTAGCTGCGTTCTTGTTTTGTGACACGTGTTCAAGATCTATCCAGATTCTCAAGTTGCCATAGCGGCTAACTAGAGAATTGGATCAGTTTAATTTCTTCTCTCATGCATTGTTTTCCCAGTATAAATCAGCCACCTCTCCCATCCTGACCTGCTGGTCCTGCTGGGAAATGCATACAATCGATTGTGATATTGGTGTGGGTGGCGGGAAAATTTAACTCCGCCCCACTCTGTCCATCGTTCGTCTTTCTTATGAAGTGTCCCACACTCCCCTGGCGGAACAACTTAACATAGAACAGAAGTTGGAAAATTAGATCTTTACCTCTCATTTAACTTGCCCCTTAAGTGGCAAATGTCATCCAGGTGGAAACATGTGATTGAATGCTTCATAACCCCCCGCCCATGCCCTCACCATAGAAAACTAACATGTCAGGGGAAATAAGTTGAAACATACAATCTTTTCACTGACATACTAGTTTTTCCTTTTGTGAAGTAATAGTCTGCCCCCTATTCTGGGAGACTTCATGCAGGGGGGCACGAAGCCAGGCCCCCTCTTCTTCCAGTCTAGATACTAAATGGCGCCATCCCATAGATTAAGAGGCTTCATGTTTCAGACCTTCACCCTAAAGCTCATGGGGGATCTAGATTAGCCTTTCTCAACCTTTGATGCCCAGATGATTGTGGACTACAGCTCCTATCATCCCTAGCCAGCAGGACCAGTGCTCAGGGATGATGGGAATTGTAGTCGAACAACATCAGGGGACATGTTCTCGTTGTCAATTTACCAAAAAAAAACCCTTTGTAAACCAGAGTTGCAGCTTGCTCCCAGTTTCAAGAAGGGTGGGGCGGGCGGGCAGGAAGTCTTAGGCACCACGTTCATTCCTTCCCCCTACACATCCCCCCTGCCCCATAGGCCTGTTTTCTGTCCCTGACAGTTTCCTGCCTAACAAATGGTGTTTCTTTTTTACAGCATAATGATCCGGGACTTGTTGTGGTGATGGTAAACTTAGTGGTAATTTTTAATTTTCAGACTGAATTTACTTCTTTTTTTGTCATCAGAGCACCAAATATGTTAGGCTTACTTTTCTCTGTTGTAGCCTTCATCTTTTCTGCTTGGTCTTTTCATTTCCCTTTTTTTCCTTTCCATTTCTTCATGCACTCTTTCGTGTCTGATCCTTGTTCATTGAGGGGTTAATGCTCAGAAGGGATGTTTGTGTTAGAGCTGCCAAAAATTTGTGGAGAATCACTTCAAATATCAAATTTCTAATATTGTCCAAACTTGATTTCCCGCCTCCCTTCTCCCAACATGTGGTGGGTGTTGTTAGCAGTTGCTACGGCAATTTTCTAGCTAATTGAAAAACTAAAAACTTTGACTGCCTTAGAAAGCAAAAGTACTGATGCATTCTTCATATTATGAAGGAGCCTGCCACAATCACAAACTTGGATACAACAATCACAACTCATGAAGAAAACAAAACAAACATTTTTTGGGGGTAGGGAAATGTGTATAGTTTTTAATAAGCTATCATGAATTTGGTCCTTTTGCTCAAAATTGCAGTCACTGCTTCTTATACCATTGGGCATAAAATCCCCTCCCCACCCCCCTTTTTACTGAAAATGTGCATATCCCTATATAAAAGCTACATTGGTGGAAAATGCTATTGGAGAGACCAGTTTTTCTAGATTTGAATCTTTCAGCCCCACATTCCAAATTATAAATATGTTGAAAATGGTTCTTCTGTGTAAGACACTTGTTTGGTTTGGAACCATGCTGATATTCATTCCCAAGTTAAATTTATGTCTGGGAGAGTCTGGAATTGGTTTGTCTTTGTTTTGATGGCACTTCAAGTGCAAAGAACTCTTCAATAAAAAACCCCTCACAATGATCTTGTGAGGAAGGCCACAATTCATACTGCAGAGATAAGGAGCAGAGGCAAGGCCACCTGAGGCCTTTGACAGAGGTGAGATGTGAACCCAGGTCTCTTAAGTGCAGCCCTCTGTCAGCTAGACTACACTAGCTCTAAAAAGTCAAATGGTGTTGATAGCCAACTTTTTGAGACATGGGTTCTCTAAAGCAATACCTCTTGTGCCATGTGGATTGGTTTTGACAATCTGGTCTCCTTATTTTGGCACAACTCGAGCTTGGACATCTTTTGGCCCAAGGGTATAATAATATGTGTATTTGTGTGTATAACAAAGAGAGTATATTATTGACACCGATCCCCCCAAGACAGATAATAAGGGAAGTAAACGTTCTGTTTTTTCACTCAAGGTATGCACCGGATAAGGTAAGTAACTCCTTTTTTCCAGTGGCCTTACATCACAACTCACAGCGCATGTTGTGATGTAAAAATAAACACCCCCCCAAAGGCTGTGATAGTCAAAGTGCTCGTCTGCCCCATTTTGCTTTGTTTGGCTGGTTATGAGTGAATTTAAAATCCGTACGGAATCTTCAGCATAGTTTGATTAGTTTCAAAGTCAGTTTTCTTCGCAACTAGTCCTTTTCACAGCTTACAAGTAAAGGATAGGACACCCAGAATGGCAGAATCCAGGAGGCCCATTTTTTGGTTGAAAGTCTTAAAGCTTAACATTGCAGAGGGAAGAATTCTATCTTCCTATGACATCACTTCAGTATTTTGTTTGTAAAGCTAGACTTGCTGGGCATTAATGCATTTTTTTTAACTAGAACATTTCTGATCTTCAGCCAAGATCATTCAGGAATACCTAGTATTCTGTTTCATCACCTGAATCTCTCTTTTGTGTTCTTCCTCCATGCCCAGAATTATTTTATCTTCCAGTGTGAGGGTGTTTGATCTTACTGTAAAGTTGCTAGAATATCTGGGCTGAGAGCTGCCGGCAGCAAGGGCTAAAAGCAGAACAGGTCTGGCGCCCGAAATGTGCGGGCTTGTGATTGTAAGCTGTGAGAATGGCTTGTGTTTGGTTCTCTGTAGCTTTCTGGTCTCTGCACTCCAAGGCAAGATCTCTAACCAACCCAAACCCAATGTGTACAAAGCGACTCACCAGAGGCTGATCATTCTCCCCACCCCACCCAACACACCCCTAACCGGTTTTCTTCTCTTGCAGGAAGGACAGATCCCATCCCGATTGTCGTCAAATATGATGTCATGGGCATGGGACGGATGGAAATGGAAGTAAGTGATCTACCATTCAGTGTACAGTATGTTGTTGTTGTTGTTGTTGTTGTTGTTGTTTAGTCGTTTAGTCGTGTCCGACTCTTTGTGAACCCATGGACCAGAGCACGCCAGGCACTCCTGTCTTCCTCTGCCTCCTGCAGTTTGGTCAAACTCATGTTCGTAGCTTTGAGAACACTGTCTGACCATCTTGTCCTCTGTCATCTCCTTCTTCTTGTGCCCTCCATCTTTCCCAACATCAGGGTCTTTTCCAGGGAGTCTTCTCTTCTCATGAGGTGGCCAAAGTATTGGAGCCTCAGCTTCAGGACCTGTCCTTCCAGTGAGCATTCAGGGCTGATTTCCTGAAGAATGGATAGGTTTGATCTTCTTACAGTCCATGGGTCTCTCAAGAGTCTCCTCCAGCACCATAATTCAAAAGCATCAATTCTTCGGTGGTCAGCCTTCTTTATGGTCTAGCTCTCACTTCCATACATCACTACTGGGAAAACCATAGCTTTAACTATATGGACCTTTGTCGGCAAGGAGGGCTATAGAGATGCTTTATACAATAACAAAAATGCAGTGCTTCTGTACATATGGAGCTCCTTGGGGGCGGGGAGTGCTTTTTGAAGATTTTGAATATCTTGAATGACTTGACATTGAGAACACAGACTCCTCTCTCCTCCTCCTCCTCCACTTTTCTTTTCCTTTTTTTTAATAAATATTTTTTATTGAGTTTCTTTTCTTAAGGTCATAGACACAAGATTGAAGTAAGAGAATACAAGAAACAAAAACAAAAAAATGATAAAAAGATCATTACAATCCAATTTTCAATAGTTTTTCCAATATTCCAAATGGACTTCCCCGCGTCCTCCAGACTCTGCGTTCTTTGCAATAAAAGTTTCAGCAATTTGTTACCTTGTTTCTTAACTTACTGTATCTTTCAATTATTATGTTTCTAAATTCACAATATTATGTCCTAACTTTGTACATTTAAAGTTAACATAATAAAATTGTTTCATATTACCACCTCTTTTTTCTTGTCTTAATTTTCAGTTTACCTAATCAAGTTGCTAAAGCAAAAAATTTCCTAATCGTGCGTATTTCTTAACATTCGTACAACTTATAATGTTTTTGCAAATAGTCCTTAAATTTTTTCCAGTCCTCTTCCATTGTTTCCTCGCCCAAATCTCGGATTCTGCCAGTCATTTCAGCCAGTTCCATGTAGTCCATCAACTGCGTCTGCCACTCCTCCAGCGTGGGTAAATCTTGAGTCTTCCAGTGCTTTGCAATAAGAATTCTTGCTGCTGTAGTAGCGTACATAAACAAAGTTCTATCCTTCTTTAACACCTTCTGGTCCACCATGCCCAATAGGAAGGCCTCTGGTTTCTTGGGAAAGGTATACCTAAATACCTTTTTTAACTCGTTGTAAATCATTTCCCAGAAGGCCTTCACTTTTGGGCAGGTCCACCAAAGATGGAAAAATGTCCCTTCTGCCTCCTTACATTTCCAACATTTATTATCAGACAAGTGGTATATCTTAGCTAACTTGACTGGGGTCATGTACCACCGGTATATCATTTTCATAATGTTTTCTTTCAAGGCATTACATGCCGTAAACTTTATACCGGTGTTCCATAACCTTTCCCAGTCTTCAAACATAATGTTGTGTCCAATATCCTGTGCCCATTTTATCATGGCAGATCTAACTGTCTCATCCTGTGTATTCCATTTAAGCAGCAAGTTATACATTTTCGAAAGTGTCTTAGTTTTTGATTCTAACAATTCCGTCTCTAATTTCGATTTTTCCACCTGGAAACCAACTTTTTTGTCCATTTTAAAAACCTCTTGAATTTGAGCATAATGTAGCCAATCCCGCACCTTATTTTTTAGTTTGTCTTGGCTCTGCAACCTCCATTTGTCTCCAATTTTTTCAATTATTTCCCAATATTTTGGCCAGTAGGCCTCCATGTTAGGTCTTTTCCTAGCCTTGGCCTCCACCGGTGAAAGCCATCTCGGGGTCTTGCCCTCCAGTAAGTCTTTATATTTCGACCAAACCGCAAAGATTGCTCTTCTGACAATATGGTTTTTAAATAATTTATGAACTTTGACCTTGTCGTACCACAGGTAAGCATGCCAACCAAAAGCATTGTCAAACCCTTCCAGATCCAGGACATCAGTGTTCTCCAACAGAAACCAATCCTTCAGCCAGCAAAAGGCTGCAGATTCATAATACAACCTCAGGTCCGGCAGGGCAAACCCCCCTCTTTCTTTCGAATCAGTTAATATTTTAAACTTTATTCGGGGCTTTTTGCCCTGCCAGACAAACTTAGATATATCCTTCTGCCACTTTCCAAAACATTCCACTCTGTCCACGATCTGTAGGGTTTGAAACAAAAATAACATTTTCGGCAATACATTCATCTTTATAGCTGCAATTCTGCCCAACAAGGAAAGTTTCAACTTTGACCAAGTTTCCAAATCCTTCTTAATTTCCGACCAACATTTTTCATAATTGTCTTTAAATAAATTCAAATTTTTTACAGTCAAATGAACCCCTAGGTATTTCACTTTTTTAACAACACTTAGTTCTGTTTCTTTCTGAAACCCCTCTGTTTCTGTAGGTGTCAAGTTTTTGGCCAAAACCTTGGTCTTTTGCTTGTTCAGCTTAAATCCCGCCACCCGACCAAATTCATGAATCAGTTCTAAAACTCTTTTTGTACTAGATACTGGCTCCTGTAGTGTTAAGACTAAATCATCTGCAAAAGCTTTCAATTTATATTGTTTCACTCCGACCTTCCACTTTTCTTTTCCTGGAAAGAAAGTTGTATATTAGCCTTCAATCAGCAGATTAAAATTTAATTGAACATTTAACAAACGTATTAATTGGGTCCGTTACTATTCTTGTGCACAAACGTTCACCTATCCCCTAAAAACTGCCCCACACTTGTGCCGTGGGAAAGGTTACTCAGTTAACGCTGTTGATGATGTGAGCAAAACTCGCCAAATTTAGGAAAGTAAACTAATGAACTGATGGACTACAATCATGTCGGAAGAATGCAGCATATTTTGATTGCTGAGCACACTGGAGAAGTAGTGGTGACTTCTTTGCTTTGTAGCTGATGCCAAACATCCTACCCCAGAAGTTCCCAAACTGTGGTCCGCTAGCTTCACTCTGGTAGTCCATGACATGTGTGTAAAACTATAATTAAAAATCATACAGTCTCTAGCACAGTGCCTTACAATTGCTACAGTTGTCTTCTCAAAACATGAGCCGGGGCCATCCATTGGAATTGCCGGCAGATTCATGGAAATTCAGAAGTACGTGGCGTCAATTTCTGCTAGATGTGGTGAATGCTGTTCATTTAGAAGGCTTTAAAAGGGACCAGACAGATAGATGGTGGTTTCATGCTGCTATTGTTAGTAGCTGTCAGTTATAAAAATTAAATTTGGGATTTCCAAAAGTTCAGAGTCAGTATAGTCAGGAAGGGACTCTAGCTTTGTGTGCTGAAGTTTCCAGGATCTCTTCTTGGCACCTCCAGTTAAAAGGCTCTCCAGGACTAGGAAAAATTTCTGCTTGAGACCTCGGAGAGTCTCTGTCAGCCAGAGTAGACAGAATTGGCTCTGAATAAAACAATGCAGTCATTTCTTAGACTGGGTTGGCATAAATTTTGAATGCTGCTTTCTTTTTTAGGGATTAAGCTTGGCAATATTGTGGGGAGGAACTGTCCTCTCTCCCCCCCTTTTTTTATCCCATTGAAACCTTAATGTTAGGCTCCTAGTTTTGTGCATCTTCATGCTTAGAGATATTTTTTTTTCTTAAATGGTGTATAAATCTTGCTAAATCAAATGAATAAAAATAATTTCCTTGAAACAAAAATCTATTATTTAGCATCTGGTGTCCCTTACTGGGGGTTCACCAGCATGGAAATATTAGCTAATTGTTTTGTGTTTTGTTCTTACTGTGGGGACGAGCAGACTCACATTGGAGAGGAATCAGTTGCATGTTTGCTACGTGTGACGTTTTCTTGACTGGTTGGGTAATGCTCAGTGTGCATGCATGGCTGACTGATCTCTCTCTGCTTTTCTTGATTAGCTTGATTATGCCGAAGACGCCACAGAACGGAGGCGGGTCTTGGAAGTGGAGAAGGAAGACACCGAAGAGCTGAGACAGAAGTACAAGGTACCCAAATGAATTCCCTGTGCTGTGGATAAAACGTCATTGTGCGGACTCATTTGATCACACATGCACAAGTCATGAACTTTATAAACCAGTCAAGGGACAGGATCCATCAGTGGACCATGACCGGTTGCTGGAATTCTTGCAAAGGCACTGTACTAGCAGAATGCGTTTCAGGTCCACCCAGTTTCAATTATTAAACTTAATAGCCAATTCCTTCTGGGAAGCCTTCCAGTGGCCCTAGATCACATGGCTGATGGCAGAAGCCAGAGCCTGTGCTTCCTTTCAGTTCTTCAGTCGCAGGTAACTGACAGATTTTCCTGTACTTTGGAAGGGAACAAACTCCCTGCAGCTGCTCCTTCTTTGGTCAATAAATGGGGCAGGGTTGGTCTCTCCCTTGCCATGATGATCTTTCCTGGTAGCAGGAGGTGCAGCCTCAGGGACCAGTGGTAGAGGCCTCTTGGATTCTGCATTCCTATGGCAACTAGCGGCTTAAAAAACCAGTACAGTGGTACCTCTGGTTGCGGACGGGATCTTTTCCGGAGGTCCGGTCGGATCCAGAGGTTTCCGCAACCTGAGGACCGCTTCTGCGCATGCATGTGCAGCAAAACCCAGTAAAATACTTCTGGGTTTGCCACTTTCGCATCCCAAAGTTTACGTAACCAGAAGGTTACATAACCGGAAGTACTACTCTGTAGCCTAAACAGTGAGTTGAAAAGTAGCGGCTAAATAGACTGTTGCCTGTAGGCTTTTTTAATGCTTTCTAGCTCTTTCCTGACCATTTTGTTGTTGTTGCGCTAGTTAAACAAAGTGTAATAGACTCTGTCTGCTGTTACAGGATTATGTGGACAAAGAAAAGGCGATTGCCAAGGCCCTTGAGGACCTTCGAGCAAATTTTTACTGTGAGCTCTGCGATAAGCAGTACCAGAAGCATCAAGAGTTTGACAACCACATCAATTCCTATGACCACGCCCACAAACAGGTAAATGGGCAGCCTATTGTCTTATGTGGTTTGATCATCTTCTTGTGGGGAGAGGCAGTAGTTTTATCCATACAGTGACTTTATTTTCTGTTGTCTGCTTTGCCGTCATCTTCCCCACAGTCTGCCTTGATGCCCCAGGGTTTAGTGAATGATTTCAGCTGAACTTAATCCTAGCATCAAGTGTTAATTTTTCGTCCTGACTTAGCAGGAAATTAAGACAGCACCTGTTTTGGACTTTGGTAGTAGGTTATAGCTTAAAGGGGGGAGTATTTAGAGTTATGGAAATTGATATAGTTATAAATAGTTCTAGATTTTGTGTAAATATGTCAGGCTTGAAGGCTTTCACAGCTAATGTAGGAGGTAAACAGTTGGAAGCTTTTGATAATATAGAATGGACAACATTACACTATAGAAAGAAATCTCATTAGATCATTAGTGCCATTTTGATATTTTTGGCAAACTGTAACAGGCAGAATGATCCTCATTTACTGGCCAGGTCTTTTAAATCATGTTTGCCTGATTTTTGCAGTAGATAAAAAGTGTAAAAAACAGGTGAAGGGGCTCAGGTTTCCTTTGAAGCTCCTCTGACCTGTGTAAACCTAAATGTGAGGCTGTAGAAGACTGTGATCTCACTTTGTGGAGTGATCTGAATTCTGGGCATGCTCAGAAGCATTCATGTTCTAAGGCTAGGATTATCAACATGAGGCCCATGAGATCATGGACACCCTTGAGAGCTTGACCATGAGGCCTCTGAGAGTCTTTCCTATTTCCCCTTTCAACTCCTTGTGTTTTTCCAAAGTTCAGTTTGGCATTTGAGCAGCAGAGAGCAGAGCAACAGAGATGTTAGAAGGGAAAGGAGGAAGAAAACAGAGGTGCAAGGAAAGATAAGGTGTGGTGCCAATGGGGTGGATGGGGGGAGCATAAATTTGTGCGAGAGAAGGTATGTGCAGGGATTCACACATGCCTGTGTCAGATTCAGAAAAATGGGTCTTCTTAGAATTGCGTGTTTTCTTCATGTTTCCTCTTCCCCCAACAATCATCAAATTGCAGGTCATACCTGCCTCCATTGACTAAACTGTGAAAATCATACATTCAGTTCTTTTTACTGTGCAGTTTGCTACGGTGCAGTTTGCTGCCGGAAGCTTTAATTTAGTGGGGTTTAAGGGGACGCTGTGTAAAATCAGACATACTCAAGTGGATCTGTTTTTAATTCTGTTAGATCTCATATTTACCCGGACACCTTGGAATAGTAGAGAGACCCACATGCATGTACTTTTGCTCTTTCTGTTTGTCTAGCAGAGGGAAAGGGATGGAGAGGTGGCAGGGTAGTGCTCACAACACTTTCTCACATGGGCCCAAAAAGGTTGGCAACCCTTACTTATGTCAATGCGATCAGGTCCCAAAACTGAGGTTTGGGGAGTGGGGTGATACATCAGTCAATCTGACCTCGTTGCTTTTATTGTTTTGTTGTTTTCTGTGGTTTTGAAGTGTTATAGCTTTAATTCAATATTGATGTTGCGTAGGCTTTAACATCTGTTAGCTGCTTTGAATTTCAATAAAGGAGGGGGATAATATTAATAAAATATGTGCTTCAGGTTTGAACATTTAGATTTGTTAAAAAACATAATCAATTGTTCTTGGGAATAGACGGGCATTGGAGGAAACAGCTAAGATTGCCAGTAAGGTTGGAGCCAGCAAGTACTGTGTGCGTATCGGTAGGAAACCTTGTAAAGTGAGAGTATGACACAGTCCTGCTTAATCACCCCATATTGGTCCTGGTGGCAGCATCACCCTTCTCTTGTGGAGTGAGAGAGAAGCCCCTCAGTCATTTGGGGCAAAATTATACAGATGTCACAATGAAAAGAAAACAGGAAATGAGATTGTAAACCTATTTTGCCAACAAACGTGCTGAAAGCACACTTTGAGTTGTATCAGAATTCTTGAAGCTTAGGAGTACAGAGAATAACCATTAAAAAATGAGATCATGGTGGTTATGTATGCTAGTATAAGCCTAATCTTGAGAACACCAGAAAGTGTTCCAACTAGGGGCTGTTCATTGGGGAGATTGTGTCTGGAAATCAGGAAACTCAGTGACTACCTTTTGCTTTTTTTCACAGTTCAAGAAGGAAAGCATTTGTGCTTCACACCTTTCTTAAAATAGAGCAGGGATGAGGAACCTCAAGCCCACAGGCTTAATGAAGACTGCCAGACCGTACCTGTCATTCACCTGATGTCATATAAAGCGTCAGGTGTGGAGCAGGGAAATACCTGGCTCAGCCAAAAGGGGCTTATCAAGTGGTGCCTTTCAAAGCCCTTTTTCAAATCATTGGCTCAAGATCATGCTTTGAAATGAGTTTCTGAAGGCCCTTGTGAATTTAAGTCACCTAATATAATAGTGATGTCAGTTGATAGGCAAGTGGGTAACTTAACCCATCAGTCAGACATGGACTGTGAGGAAGGTGGAAGCTACTGATTTGGCCCTCCTGCATGATCCAGTCCCCATCCCTGAAATAGAGAGAAGCAGCTTCACTTGTCCTTTAGTTAGCTGAGCTGAAGATTGGTTCGAAAGCATGCTAGGTCAAAAGGTAAATTCAGGTCAGTGAGAGGATTTGTTAATTCACTCCATCTCTAAGTTGCTCATGGCTTACATTTTTCATCTCTTCCTCCAGCCATGTGCATCCTCCCCCTCTCCCCGCCATGATCTGTGCCAAGATTTAATTTGAACTGCAGCATTTCACCAGCGTTCAGTTGGAGATCTGCTGCAGCAGAACCTTTTTTTCATGACCCTGCAAGTAGTCCACTTCAGCGGTGGATGTCAGCCAGCAACCTCTTAGCTTCACCTTCGCCTATGGAAGGAATGCATGGTCACTTATATACACACACTTAGCTTTGGGATTCATTGTTGATGAACCTGTCAAGGAAGGCAAGTCGAGCACCTGAGCAAATCCGCTCTTGGAACATGAAGAAATGACTTGGGTTATTAGTGAGTTAAGCTGACCTTGTGTTTGAAATAAATCAAGCACAGGCAATTTAGATGTTGGTCCTATGTGGCTTGCTAGCTTGCCTTCACAACAACACTGCAAAAAAAAAAAAAGGAATCTACATTAATATACCTTGATTGGGGAAGCTTATAACATGTTAGAAAGCTTCCCTCTTGATGTATTTCCTCCTTCTACGTCCCTTAGCTGCTTTTCCTTCCCAAGTCCCCTGTGGCTCTTGAGATTCTTTTTGTTAGAATAATTGTTATTAGATAAGGGCTTTCGAAAAATTGTCAATTTACTTGCAGTCCTTTTGCTCTAACTGCATTCCTGCCAGCTCAGTTGAATTTTCACCCTCAGCTTTCCTCTCCATTCCCACCCCACTATTCTTCCCATGTCTCTTGAACCCACACCACCCTACTTCATTGCTCCTTCACTGATAGTGATCCTTCCCCTAAACGTGGCATTGTTATCCATGTCACTGTCACACACCCCCACCCGAAAATTCACGACCGGGTAGAGAAGACATGGTTGTTACTCTTCAGAGAGGACTCAAACTTCAGGAATGGCATCTTCAGCTATTTGAGCTGTTCAGCACTAGTACAAGCTGCCCAAGGAAACCTTGGAATTTTCTTTATTTGAAGTTTAAAGAAAGGAATGAGTGTGGTAAAAGGTGGTTAAAGACAGGACCCTCTAGTGATGAGGATTGTGTATTGCAACCACCTGGTCCCAGTTTGCTGTTCTCATGGCGACAGGCTGGGATCCAGATCGCGGTGCATTTTTTCCTGTGGCCTCTCAAAATAACGGGGCGTAAAAAGAACTACACTTTGCACCTACTTATTCGCCACTGAATTGCTGTTATTTAAAATTAACTCAAGCTGTAGGTTGGGATCCTTCCTTTTGGAGGAGCATAGGACAGTTTTAGGAGAGTCCTGGGTGTTGGGACTGTAAGAAAGATCTGAAGTTGAGCAGCAAGTTGAGTAGCGACTGGGGTTCCTCTTTCTGTGTCGCACCCCTACAATGGGAAAACACTGCATGTTACCACCGGGGAAAGAAACTGCTTCATTTTACTCATTCAGGTCAGTGTCCAGAGCATCCAGACCTCTTGCTCGAGGGAGTGGGGTGTGTGGGAAGGAAATAGGAGCAATCCTGCTCAAAGAATCTTTCATTCACCCGTTTTTAAACCATGTTGAGAAGAGGACTCTACAGTACCAAAAAGGGATGCTGGCTTGGTACCAGTTCTGGACTGTCAACACCTTCATTCATTCCTGTAAGTTTTGGGTAGCCTCCCATGCCAGAATCCTCCTCCTTCTCCACAACACCATGGGGTTTGCTTGCTTTCATATCTCAGTCCACCCACTTTGCTGCTAGTTCCTTCACTTCACCATCAGATCTCACTGCTATCACTACTGAATGTTGCCCTTTGATATTTTCTTGGTGCCAAGGGTTTTTACAAATTGCATGACAATTATTGCTGCTCAGTTGGTACCGTAAAGGTTTCTGATTTCTCCCTCAGTACATTTGGGTGACTGAGTCATATTAGGGAAAGTAAATCAGTCACGAACCAAGGGCTCAGTGTCACTCCAAATCAGTGTTCAAATGGGAACAGTGAGGAGGAGAAGGTAGAGAGGCCCTTAATTTAATGCAAAGGTCCCACCTCCTACTCCCTACAATTTTAACCAAATTGTGGCTCCACTGTAGTCTTCTTAAAACATGCTATGAAAGCCCTATGATTCAAGCACCAATCTCAGCCTTTTAGATGATCTCTGCCTAAGCATCAACAGACACCCATTTCAGCAGCGGAGAACAAAACAAGTAACTTTTCATCAGTTTAGTCCTCTGCTCCTTTCTCGGCAGGATCACTCTACATTGAGACTGAGCCTTATGTATTGTGTCAGACCAGCAATAGGTGAATTGCAGAATTCTTAGCTGGCCCTGAAACCTTATGCTGCTTAAACCTGCTGAAACAGGTTTATTAATCAAATGACATTTATTATAAAAAAGAAAGCACAAATATTTGCT